AAGTATCAAAGTATTTTTTGAATATTTAAAGAAATTTTTACTCATTTTTCGAACATTCGAAATTTTGAATAAATCCTGTTTTTCTTGCATCATCGGTTGTACTAACTTTTAGCATAGCAAATTTTAACCTCCTTTTTGCGCTGAGAGACACCATAATTTGAAAATTCTTGCAAAAATGAAATAATTGACCGAGTTTAATGAAATTTCAGGTTTTATAAACGATGGAAAACATTTTTGAATATTTTTTTTAATAGAAAATCTTGGCAAAAATATTTGTTTACATAATTTTATGAAACTTGAGAAATTCAAAGAGATAATCTTTAATGACAACATTAGTTAAAAATAGAATATTTCAAGAATTTAAATCACCGATATTTTTTCTTTTTACAAAATTTGACGACGAATATCTGTTCTAAATCGAAAAATTAAAAAAAACAATTAAACTAAGAGATTTTGTTTCTTTATGAATATATATTAAAGACAATATTTTCTGAAGAAACAAATTTTTTCGATGAAAAATGCATTTTAACAAGATTTATTTTCATGTTTTACAATTTGAAATTGAATAATTGATACGTTTTTAAATCTTTTAAAATTCAGTTTTAATGTGATAACTCTTAGGAAATATTGTTATTAAGTAAAACTCTATGTACTAATAATAGATTGTAAAGTTTATTACAATCTGACGAAGGCGAATATTTTTAAAAGAATTTCGATTTGTTATTGTATGTTTGATACACGTGCCGTATTTCTAAGCATGTATATTCAAGCATCATTAACAGATCAAGTGTTTTAATGGTTGTCTCCCCTTACAAGAAAAAAACCACCTCATATAATATTTATCGCCTGCTCCATCATACTTAACACGTTAAGCGGTCATTCGGCTGTGAATATATGAATTAACACGTCATAAAATAAAACCCCATGGTTAAGATATGCTTGCATACAATATTTTATTCTACAAATTTTGTTTCAAATTGGATTAATTTAACTTTAAATTTGATAATTCTCCTCAAATAACGTTTCAGAAATATTTTTGCAATATTTTTAAAACCTAGAATTAACTTTTGTTTACAAATATGTCAAAATGGCATATTACTGAAAAAATCGATAACGCTCAATATAGTTTTTGTTTGAAATGCACCACAATGTATTTTGCTTACTGGAAATTGTAAACTTTAAATCCTTTATCTTTGAATGAAAGCTTCAAGAAAGCTTATTCATTTAAAAAAAAAAAAAAATTAAACCAGACGCATACCGAACAGGTGGATGTACCTATGCTAAATCCTTTCTCTACCGTAAATAAAAGTCAATAAATTAACAGGGACCAAATACAAGAAAATTCCTCTGTGTGAAAAAAAATGATTCTTACCTCAGAAGAGTTTTCAAGTTTTTTTCCTTCTAATGATGTATGACTTATGAAAATGAATATTTTCGTTGACAGTTGTAAGTCTCACACACACACACAAAAAAGTTTTACTACATTTTTTAAGCATTTCACCCGAAGCAAGCAGGGACTGCCACTAGCCGCATGGGGTTACAGAGAGTTAGAGCAAGAATTAAGAGGAATATTTGAGGAAAGGATATAGAGATGGACAGGGATCCGGATAAGAGATCAGAATATGTCGATTGGCATTACATTTGATCATTTGAAGATTATAGCAAACAGGGAAGTAAGTAAGATGAAGGGAGTTCCACAGTCGAAAAATGCGAGAGAAGAAGCTGTTGGAGTAGAAGAGGCGGTTACATTTAACTGTTGCGACAGTAAAAGGGTTGGGACCGAGATGCCAACCTAGTAGCACGCTTAAATTCATGCTGTTTGGGAACCAGTGAAAGTATCTCGTCAGAGCAGTTATCATGTAAATATTTGTAGAAAAGACAGAGAGAAGCCACAGAACGTGTGTGAGGAAGTGATTGTAGACGAGATGCCCGATCAGGACCTATCACATTGCTTATTCGTTTCTGGATTTTGTTCAGGACCTCGAGACGAACAGACCATATATGGCAACTGTATTCAATGCAAGGATCAATGATAGTAATGGGCGTTGCAGAATAAAATAATTAATTCGGAGTTTTCGAAATCCTTGAAAAGGGGATAAATGTTTGGAGACAGTAAAACAACAGTAGTGAGGGGAAATGGAAAGATCATAGACAAAGAACACCATTGGAAAGTTCGTAAACTTAAGGAATCAGCACATATGCTAGGCCACAAAAATCTCCTGAGCCGACCAAGCATAGAAATGAATACAATATGGGAACCAGTAATAAGGATTGCCAGAGAAAAGCGATAACAACAACAAAAAATGCAATAAATATGAGCTCTAGTAAAAACATGAAATGAAAACAGAAAAAAATTGGAGTATGAGAACTTGTAAAAAAATTGTTGCTGATGAAATTAGGTCTATAATACCCATAAATTCATACCCAGATGTCCTCAAGGACACATGGTACAGTGGATAAAGGCGTTGGTTAGATCCAGTGACAGGACCCAAAAGAGTGTGAGTTCAATACCCGGTTAAGGCAGTGGAGAACATGGAGAGGGGAATTAACAGGAGATAACTGAAATCCATTAGACATGGCACGTGGAACTAGAACAGTCTTTCCCAGCGTGAGAAATAAAGGATTCAGTTCGACATTCCAAACACCTGAAGAAGGTCGGAGTGTACAACAGCCGAAACGTTGTAATAAATGAAGATGAGGTCAATAGTCCGAATAATGTAAATAGAGTAAAACAACAGATTTTTACATCTGTCTTTATTTCTGTGATAAATATTTAAACTATCTACATAATTAGGACTGAGGTCCACATCTTTGTAATATTCATGACGTTTCAGCCGTTGTACGCTCCGTCCTTCTTCAACTTTTTCTTTGTCAACACAGATGAGGAGAACAGTTTAAACCATACAAATAATATCAGATTTGATTTTTAACCTATGAGCGTTATTGTAATTGTAAAACTCCGTTCTTTTTGTGAGGCATGTCCTTTCACGACGTACACAATCTTGCCGCTGGACAATCATTCTGTATTTTGCTGTTTTGAGTAAACGTTAATAGTACCGTTTAAATCGCCCTTCTTTTCATTACTATTCGTACAAACTTCTTAAGTATTTATTTTTCTCCTCTTCTTGTCTGAGTGTTTAGTTCTCCTGGCCATCTTTCCTCGTTAGATGTTTCATAAATTTAAGCTGTCCCTTTACTCGAAATTACGAAGATTTTATTATTCTGAAAACTGGGATTCTCGGAATTGGTCATTAGAACCACACACCTGTCGCTTAATGTATCTTCATCTGTTTAGTACCATGTAAGAGATTAGTTGATATATACCAGTTCACATTTATATCTCTCTGTTTCTCAAGATATTGTCATATGAGTTATTATTCTGATATATGAATATTTCCAGGTGCGGTAGGCACGGGTGGTGTTAATGGCACATAAATTGTTAATCGGAGTACTGTGTTCCAATTCCTGTCATGTTCGTTATATTCACACGCGGAATCACCTCTTCTCACCCAGCTATGGGTTAATTAGTAAGCATTGTACCACGAAATCATTATGATCTTTAAAGAATCTAATAATATTTTCTGGCATTAAATAACCTGCAAAAGGTTGATAACCCGTAGAAAACGAATCAATCGATCAATCAAATATCGATTTAGCTACACATTTTGGTGTTATTTATATTTAATATAAATGTACAGAAACTGCCTTGATCAAAAAGTGAGAGATTAATTTATATATTGACTGGAGTATAGAATTGTTCCCCCACTTTATATCAATTTTATAATTTCTTGTTTGTTTCTCAAATTATGAATAGGCATTCAGCCACCTGTCCCCTCAGATATGGGTTAATTAGCAATACATTTATGAAAGCCCTCCAAAAAATCCTTACATTCATAAGTATTGTCTGGCTTTAAATAACCTACACAGGGTTGATAACCCGTAGAAAACGAATCAATACCGTGTAACTACACATGCATGTTTTTTTAGAGTTATTTACATTCTGTAGAATATAAATGTATGAAAGCTACCGTGATCACAAAGTGGGGGATCAGTTTTTTTTCAAATTCTGGTTAGGTATGAATTCACATCTGCCAAAAGCTCTGGGCTAATTAGTATGAATTGTATCGCTAAATCATTATTATTTAAAAAAAAAATATTCTTAAAATCTACAAATATTCTCTGGCTTTAAATAACACACAAAAGTGGAATAAGTCGTAGAAAATGAATGAATCAATCAACTATCTCGGTGATTATACGACAAGCGGTTTCTCAACGTAATATAGTTGTAGACAACAACTAAAATGAGCCCAAATGATGGAATTATAACAAGACTTAATTATGCACGAATGGTATTAACCAAAAACGATTGGGAATTTCCGAAAAATTGGCAGCGTAATCACGAGATATTTAAAAATCAATTGTTCTAAGGGGAAAATCGCTAGTTTATCGAAAGGCAATGTTGAAGTACACAAGTATATATATATATATATATATATATATATATATATATATATATATATATATATGTATTGTTTCCTTTAAGATTCCTTGGTTTCTACGATTTATTCGTTCATTGATTTAAGTAACAAAAATATATTTTCTTTCATTCATTTATTTTTTAATCATTCATTTTCTTTTTTAATTCCGTTAGCACTTCTTTTCCCTGTCATTTTTTTTCATTTCCTAAATTGAACCAATCCCGTCTCTTCTGATTCGAACACATAATCAATCGATAAAATCTAATCAGTTTCTTTTTGTCAATAACACCCTTGACCGGCACCGACATCCTCGTCACTATGCAATACAATAATTGCGCATCGATTTTTCGTGTCCGTTTATCGATCTGATGAACTCGAGACTGCAATACAATCATTTAGCTTCAAAATAGGTAACTACAAATTAAGCAGCAATAATATATATATATATATATATATATATATATATATATATATATATATATATATATATAGATAGATAGATAGATAGATAGATAGATAGGGTTATAAAAGACTGTGATAGATAGATAGATAGATAGATAGATAGATAGATAGATAGATAGATAGATAGATAGGGTTATAAACAGACTAGGATAGATAGATAGATAGATAGATAGATAGATAGATAGATAGGGTTATAAACGGACTAGGATAGATAGATAGATAGATAGATAGATAGATAGATTTATAAGCAGACTAGGATAGATAGATAGATAGATAGATAGATAGATAGATAGATTACGGTTATAACACGTTGAACACAGTACCCCCCCGGTCTTGTGGGTGGGTGCTTATTAATGGCAGGTGCTGTAAGCTATGATGCGCTGGCTATATTATGTGATAACGGCTATGAATTAGAAATCGGAGATTGAATTCCAATAGAGTTCGTTACACTGACTTTGACGCAAAAAGGTTTAGGTTTATTTTGTTTTACGGTATATCAACACCTAAATGGGTTATTTGATGCCGACAATATATTACAGATAGGTTCATATGGATAGAATCTGTTTTCTTTGTAAGAAATCCGTTTGTCGATCTGTTTAAATTGATTCCTTTGGTTTATTATGTTTTACAGAATATCAACACCTGTATGGGTTATTTAATGCCGACAAAATTTTATAGATAGGTTCGTAGACAGTAGAAAGCGACTGACATCGTATTTCAGTTTTTAAAGATTAAATTTCCCTGGAATTCATGGAACCGAACGAGATTTCTAAAATTTAGAAGTACGAGATAATAAGCTGTTAGCATAGAACTTGCTGTTACATCTAGCGAAATTAACTGTATATTAGTGATAATACGTCGTCAATTTAGTATCCGTCTTGGGTATGACGATAAACTACATCCGCGTCCTGGGTAAGACGACAAACTACATCCACGCCCTGGGTAAGACGACAAACTACATCCGCGTCCTGGGTAAGACGACAAACTACATCCGACAGCAAGGCTTCTGATCAGAAGGTTTTGAGGAGCGTGGAATCACCTCTTAATTTCTGGTGTTCTGATGTCCATTTGACCCGGGGTGGTAGCACCTGTAAGGGTCCCAGCTATGGGTAAATATTTAACCTCCTACTCGTGGTCAAAATGCTATGACAGTGTAGGTATAGGGTTTAGTAACAGCAATATTTTTTTGTAAAAAATTACCACCACAATAAATTTTTGAAGAAAAAATATTACCAGCAATACATTATTAACATCAATACATTTTTGAAAAAAAAAATACCAGCAATATATTTGAAGAAAAATATATTTCCAGCAAGATATTTTTGGAAAAAGTTTTACCACCAATAAAAATCTCGTCGACATTAAATAACACATTGAAGTTGATATGATTATAAATTGACTGTAGTAAAGAATTGATCCCCCACTTTATATTATAATTTCTTGTTTGTTTCTCAAATTCTGATTAGGCATTAATCCACCTGTACCTTCATATATGGGTTAATTAGCAATACATTTCTGAAAACCCTCAAGAAATTTCTTACATTCTAAAAGTATTTTTTGGCATTAAATAATCTGCAAAGGGTTGATAAACACACAAAAAAAAACAAAAAAACAATCTAGTATTTCGTTTAAATTCATAAATATTAGATGCCATAGGGAAGAGTTCATCCAAACAATTACCATGAATGTATTCATAGCAAACCCCCAGGCATGCAACTTTACAGCGACGAGAAAGTGGCTGAAACCGAGACGCCAGAGCAGAACCAATAATATTGCTGATTCTTTTTTTGGATTTTATGGAGGATTTCTAGATATATAACAGGAGCACCACACCATATCTGGATACTATATTCTTAGAATTGACGAATTGTAGGATATATAGGAAGATACAGCAGAGAAAAATAATCTAGCAAGGCACAGTGAACTAACTTTCTTAGCCACTGACCTAACAATGGATTCAATATACTTTTTTCCCCCTTCATGTCACCCGAGAAATTTAGCACAAAAAAAGCGCAAAGAGCCACTCTCCTGGAGGTGAGCCTCAGCCACGCCGATGGTAGACAGAAATGGGTCTCTCACATAATAGTGATCAGTTTTTTTTTTTTTGTTTTTTGAAGCGTTCAAAATTAAAAATCCATAATTTGCCCCAGTTAACAAGGAACTGAAGTACTATTTGAGATCAGCCGCCAATTTGAACTTACCAGATCATTCTGACTTATCAGTCTATATTTCTGAGATGAGGTATTATGTACACTATTTACATTATTCGAACTATTGTCCTCATCTTTGTTGCCATATCTAATACAACGTTTCGGCTTTTCAGTATCTGTCTATATTTCTGAGATGAGGTATTATGTACACTATTTACATTATTCGAACTATTGTCCTCATCTTTGTTGCCATATTTAATACAACGTTTCGGCTTTTCAGTATCTGTCTATATTTCTGAGATTAGGTATTATGTACACTATTTACATTATTCGGACTATTGTCATCATCTTTGTTGCCATATTTATTACAACGTTTCGGCCTTTTAGTATCTGTCTATATTTCTGAGATGAGGTATTATATACACTATTTACATTATTCGAACTATTGTCCTCATCTTTGTTGCCATATTTATTACAACGTTTCGGCGTTTCAGTATCTGTCTATATTTCTGAGATAAGGTATTATGTACACTATTTACATTATTCGGACTATTGTCCTTATCTTTGTTGCCATATTTATTACAACGTTTCGGCCTTTCAGTATCTGTCTATATTTCTGAAATGAGGTATTATGTACACTATTTAAATTATTCGAACTATTGTCCTCATCTTTGTCGGCATATTTATTAAAACGTTTCGGCCTTTCAGTATCTGTCTATATTTCTGAGATGAGGAATGATGTACACTATTTACATTATTCGGACTATTGTCCTCATCTTTGTCGCCATATTTATTACAACGTTTCGGCCTTTCAGTATCTGTCTATATTTCTGAGATGAGGTATTATGTACACTATTTACATTATTCGAACTATTGTCCTCATATTTGTCGCCATATTTATTAACTACAGTATCTGTCTATATTTCTGAGATGAGGAAGGATGTACACTATTTACATTATTCGGACTATTGTCATCATCTTTGTCGCCATATTTATTACAACGTTTCGGCCTTTCAGTATCTGTCTATATTTCTGAGATGAGGTATTGTGTACACTATTTACATTATTCGGACGAGTGTCCTCATCTTTGTCGCCATATTTATTACAACGTTTCGGCCATTCAGTATGTGTCTATATTTCTGAGATGAGCTATTATGTACACTATTTACATTATTCGGACGAGTGTCCTCATCTTTGTCGCCATATTTATTACAACGTTTCGGCTGTTGAACGCTCCACTCTTCTTTAGGTGGTTGGAATGTCGAACTGAACACATTACTTCGTTCAATGGGGTAGACTGTTCTAGTTCCACGTGCCTTGTTTAGGAATACATTGATGAGAAGCAGGTGAGTGTTATGAACCCCATAGAAAACTTATGGAGCATTATAAAGTACAGGCTCTCGAGAAAGCAGATGACCAACATGCTCCATACGTTTTCTATTGGGTTGAGGTCAGGAGATTGGGGCGGCCATTTCATAACACTCACCTGCTTCTCATCAAAGTATTCCTTCATCAATTTTGATTTGTGACAGGGAGCATTATCCTGCATAAAAATGAGCTTGGTGGGGTCGATTTTCACCCTTTCAGCAGAACGGAGCTGACAAGACTCTAAAATTCTCTTGTACGGCTCGCTCCTGAGGGTCCTTTCAATATGTTTTAAAAAACCAATTCCATGAAAAGAAAATGATCCCCAGAACATTATACTGAACGCATGCTTGACATTACTTACTGCTAAATTCAAAGAGCTTTCAAAGAATCTTCAGATTTTAGATCGGTTATCCTTTGAATTTAGCTCAACTTTCGTTTCATCGGAGAAGAGAACATTTAATAAAAAAAAATCAGGTGAGTCACTTTTATCGAACTGCACTGTACATTTTTTAGCAAAATGTCTAATAATGCTTTTTATCCGTAGAGTTAAAAATATGTGGATATTGGCTTTAAATAACCCATAGAGTTTGATATGTTGCTAAACAAAACTGGCCAACCAACAGATCATCAACATATTCTGAAAATGTCTTTTTTTTTTGGACAATCAATAGTCTGTGGGTTGTCACCGGATTTTCGAGTATCACATTTCAGCTCAGATATACGTTTATTTTGGTAAAACACTCAACGGCACCGGAACTATACGTATTCTCAAATATTTCATAATTCTTTGGAACATAAACTTTTCTGAATACAACCAGAGCAATTCCTGGTGCAGCTCGTACTACTGGAACTGACTTCATGTTCCTAACATTTTTCGTTTTATTCTTTGATTTATATAATTTTGTCTGTCGGCGTCAGACAAGCCTAAGATTGCTATGATAAAATTTTGAATTTAATATCGACATAATAAACGTGTCTACGTCTGTGATATTTTTACAGATTGCTTTTATGTATTTAAATGAATAATTGCTAATAATACATATATATATATATATATATATATATATATATATATATATATATATATGTGTGTGTGTGTGTGTGTGTTTGTTTGTATGTGTGTGTGTATCATATCATATCTTATCATGATCAATAATAAAATAAAATTAAGGAATATAATCAGCCGAAAATAAATTGAAATTCTCGGGTCAGACAGAGAAGAAAAAAATGAAATCAACTTATTTTCTAGCCAGTCATGCAATTTTAAGTTTTGACATGCGATGAAAGCTGACATGATCATATGACCATTTAAAATTATTCGGCAAATGATTTTCTTCTATTATCACGCAAAAGCGTTTTCTTTCTGATCAATTCTGTCGCGTCGTTATTTTTTTTCTCGCTGTTTTGCCAAACTTGTTGCCTTTTCCTGAATTTAACCTTCATTGCAAGTGAAAACAACGTCAGTGATCGAGTTAAAGCTATAATGTCGACCACATAGAGAAACTATTAGGCTGTTCGGTACGTAATGACGCTGTACTAGAAAGGATATAAAAATGAATGTAAGTTAAAATCGCAAACATATTGCGGGCACCCTGGAATAAAGGTTAGCGGCTAAGATTGAGAAATCTGCGAGCCGTGATCAAATTCCAGCCGAGGTTTTTACATTTGCTTACGTGCTTACCTGGGAAAGGTTTGAATCTATTCTCTGACCAGCTATGGATAAAATAGCAGGCAGACTAGATCCTATCGTTTTAGTGGCAAACAATCTAGAAGGAAACTATGTATTCAAATCAATCTTAGGCTCTGTCTAGAAGCCGTTGTCTTTAAAAACAAATCCAGGACTTAAAAAGCGGGACGGGGTAACATAAATATCCCCGTTGGAAAAAGAACCGGCAATATTGTACTTCTTGTCCTTGAATGCCACCATGAGCCACAATTGTGTGACGGAGGGAAGCGGTGACCACAGGCGCGCAAAATGCGTTACTTGATATATAATCTCAACAATATAAGATATGCAAATGAAACAATAGTGATAACAGACACGGAAAAGAAATTACAAAACCTCCTACAGAGGTTAGCGAAGGAGAGCAAGAAGAAAGGACTAAGCATAGGACAGAATTGCATGGTCACCAGGAAAAATGGCTGGACTGAAATGCGATTTGAAGACACTAAAATCAAATAGGTGGGGAAGTTTAAATATCTGGGAATTGTTTTGACAGAGGACAGTAAGTAACGAAGAGGTATTGGGATGGCCAAACACGCATTCCAAAAGCCTGACAGAATATCACGAGATAAGAGATTTCTTTGGTAACAAAGAAAAGAGTGCTGAGCTGCTACGTGACATATGTCCTCCTTTACGGCAGCGAAAGTTGGACAGTCTCCTCAAAGATGAAGCGACACGAAGCAACCCTGCATGGTTCTACAGAAGGATGCTAAGGATATCATAGACCTATCTTGTGAGCAACGACGAGGTTTCGAGGAGGATGCAAACAAGGAGGAAGGTTATACTTAACATCAGGAAGAGGCAGCTGAAATTTCTGGGACACGTAATGAGAAAGGAGGGCCTGTAGAATCTGATACTCACAAGTCGAATAGAGCGAACGAAAGACAAGGGAAATAAATGCATGACATAACGGCTTAAGCAAGTTGATGACAGAAAACTACCTTGGATAGGAAGGGGCATAATCGCCTTCGTCCTGAAGGGACACAGCATATAAAAAGAAAAGAAGAATATATAATCAAGGATTACGTTTTATATACAAGGATATAAAAATAAATATAGCTGATATTCATGCAGGTATTTTTATACAAATTTAATTTGAGTAACAATTATTCATCTATTGATTTTTTTAGGTTTAATTAACAAATATTTATGTAGTTATTTCGCTATTATTCTTCAATAGAATGAACTAGTGGTACTTATTCATAAAGAAAGAACTGTAGCGAATAATAAAAAAGCACATCACTTGAGGTCTTTCAGCAACATCAACAAATAAAATAGGTAGCATATTTAACTAGAAAAGAGAATAATGGTTTTCGCCAAGATGCTGAAATTCTACATTGCTTTCACACATAAGGCAAGGAAGGAAAATCCCATCAAAAGGGAAAAAGGGGGCGAAAAGCTACTATACTTGAGAAACCTAGTTACCTGAAGTCTATTTTAATAGAAATAATTCATGAATTTAAACCGAAAGCAACATTGGCTAATCAGTCAGAGAATGCGAATGTTTCCTGGAATGCTCATATTACCATGTCCTTAACTTCGTGATATGACAGGATATGTTAGAAAAGAAAGAAAGAAAGAACGAAAGAAAGATAGAAAGAGAATGAAAATAAGACGAAGAAAGATAGAGAACGAAATGATGTGAAGAGATAACCACAGATAGATAGATAGATAGATAGATAGATAGATAGATAATGAGACTATATGAATAGATGAAGAAAGATAGACAGAAAGAGAATGAAATGATATGAAGAAACAAAGAAACAAAGAAAGAAAGAAAGATAGATAGATAGATAGATAGATAGATAGAGAATGAAATAAAAGAAATAGACGAAGATAGATATATAGATAGAAAGCAACCAAGTTAAATTAAATAAAGAGACATAGATAGATAGATAGATAGATAGATAGATAGATAGATAGAAAGAGATGAGATTATATGAATAGACGAAGAAAGATAGAGAATGAAATGATATGAAGAAAGAAGCAAAGAAAGAAAGATAGATAGATAGATAGATAGATAGATAGATAGATAGATAGATAGATAATGAAAACAAAAGAAAGAGGAAGGAAGATAGATATTTAGATAGAAAGCAAAAGTTAAATTAAATAAAGAGGCATAGATAAATAGATAGTAAGTGAATGAGATTATATGAATAGACGAAGAAAGATAGATAGAAAGAGAATGAAATGATATGAAGAAACAAACTAAGATAGATAGATAGATAGATAGATAGATAGATAGAAAGTAAACACTCTCAGATAGATAGATAGTGAGCACCTGCAGATAGATAGATAGATAGATAGATAGACAGATAGATAGAAGGAAATAATAATTTAGGTATATGAAGCAAGTTTTTATCTATTTAGTTTACAGATCTTTTCAATCGTAACACAGTTGTCGGTAGCGTAGTAGGAATGTCTTTTCGTTAATGCATAAGGGAATAGATTCTGCTCTTTTGTTTACTTTTCATTTGTCTGGAAATATAATTCTATCTTCTGTTGCAGCGATGTGTAGCGATAATTTGCAGCGTTATTTTATTCCACATATGTTTAAAAAGGAATGTTCTATTTGAACATTTTAGAATCATAAATTGCGGGAGTAAATTCTCTAATTCTACGATCTTCTGTTATTTTTATATATACTTCATGTTAATTGTTTGATCTTTGTATGCAAGAGTTTTTACTCTCAAATTATACACATATTCCGGACAATACAATTCCAATGATTTCTTTCAAAGAACAGATTAATAATAAAGAAATATTAATGTATTTAATAATTATATTGATAGAAAACAAACAAATAATTTGTTATGATATAATACTGCTTGTTTTTTTCTTTCCAAATTTAGTTAGCACGTACGTTACCCCCTACGAATAGCTCAGGTAGATAATGATTATGGATAAAGACGAAAGGCAGATGCATGACAGATACGCTTTTTGATTTTAGAATAAGGTAGGATGAGATAGGGAAAAAACAGGAAAAGAAAGGAAGAAACAAACAAAGTAAAAGAAACAGAGAGAGAGAGAGAAATGAAAGCGAATGAAAAATAAATGAACAGACGATATAGATAGATAGAAAGACGAAGAAGGAGAGTTACAGGAATAGAAAGAAAAGGAGAGAAGGAAAAGGAAATGCAATGAAAGAAAGAAAGAAAGAATGGAGTAATAATTAATTGAAGAGATAATTAATTGAAGAAAGAAATAAAGAAAGAGATAAGTAAAGATAATTAATCGGAGAAAGAATTAATCGGAGAAAGAATTGATCGGAGAAAGAATTAATAAGAAAGAAAGAAATAAAGAAAGAAAGAAAGATAAAAAAGAATTAAGGGAAGAGACAAAGTAAGAAAAAAAAAAAACAAGGAAAGGAAGACACAGCGAGAAAGAAAGAAAAAAAGAAAGAAAATAAAAAAAGAAAGGCAGTGGAAGGTATATGGTAAATATAGCACCCAACAGAAGCAAAAAAGAAAGAAAGAAAAAAAGAAAGAAAGAAAGAAAGAAGTAAAGATAATTAATTGGAGAAAGAATTAATAAGAAAGAAAGAAAAAAGAAAGAATGAAAGAAAAACGAAAGAATGAGGTCAGTAAAGATTATTAATTGAAGAAAGAAATAAAGTGATGTGGGGCCAAAGTTGGGACCACAGAAGTAAAACACGGAACACGGATTAGATGTAAAAAAGATATATTAACAACAGGTTACAGAGATAGTGTAAGCGGAGCTTACTATATGTTAGTGTCCAATACTGGTAGTCGTACTAGATCCTGACTGTCTCTCTCTGTCACTCTCTAGAGTCTACTTAATATAGGCCTGGAAGAGTCTATTGTGTAGCTAGTTTCCGGTCTCACAATATAAAGAAAGAGATAAGTAAAGATAACTGGAGAAAGAATTAATTAAGAAGTAAGAGAAGAAAAAGGCGGCAATAACACTCTGCTATGTTTAACATCAATAAAATAGAAAATCTTCATCAATTTTGAATACTTTCAATTGTACCTTCTTACTTCTTCATATAATGATCTACATTTCTATTCATGATTTTGATTAAAGAATCTCTTGTTAATCTTAAATATTTAACGAGGCTATAGAAGAATTTACAAGAGGGATTTTCATGGTCGAAGAACTCGTCAGGAGTTTTTTTTTCATTTATTATCTATAGAATTAAGATTCATCAGGAAATTCAAATAGGAAAACCGTGAAATGTTGAGTATTTATCGTAAATGATAATGTAATTAGTATATGAAGGAAATACAAGAAAGCTATTTTATTTTAACGAAATGTACCAATCATAGGAAACAACTGTTAAAAAAATTACACATAGGCCCACATTTTATATTGAGTCTGATAAATAAGATTTACATTAGTGTGAGTTATATATGATTTCTGTTCTTAGAAAATAATTGTAATGGCGAACATATAATCAGAGACACTAATCCTACATATTACTTAAGAAAACGTTTTGTGAACACCATAATGCAGCTTCCCCGTGTCTTTGTCGTATCCACTAAAATATCAAATACAATATTTATTTACAATTCAGTCAGTCAGTAATGTGATTACATTTTAAAACAACACACCAATAAGTATCAGATTCTCCAGGCCCTCCTTCCTTACTATATGTCTCATAACCTTCAGCTGCCTCTTCCTGATGTTAAGCATAAGCCTCGTTTGTATTCCCCTCTAAAACCTCGTCTTTGCACACACGCTTGGTCCATGATATCCTTAGCATCCTTCTGTAGAACCACATCTCCGTCGCCTCGAGTCTCTTCTTCATCCGTGAGAAAATCGTCCAGCATTCGCTGCCGTAATGAAAGACGGATGTCATGTAACAGCTCAGTATTCTTTTCTTTGTTATCTAAGAAATCCTTCTGTCTCGCAATACTCTGCTCAGGTTTTGGGATGTGTCCTTAGGCATCCCAATACGTCCACGGATCTCAGTGGCGCGCTTACCGTCCTCTATCAAAACGCTTCCCAGATATTTAAGTTTCCGCGTTTGCTTGATTCTAGTGTTCCCGGACCTGCAAATCACATTTTGGGCTCTTACCGATGACCATGCATAATGTCTTCTTGTAGGTCATACGAAACGCTTCTTCTCACTCCCCGTCGCTACATTCTGTAAGAGAATTTGTAATTTCTTTTCCGTGTCTGCTATTTTACTTATAGTAAAAGAGAATAAAAAAAAAAAAAAAAAAAGAAACATTACAAGGATCCGGACAACCAATCCTAAACAGGAAACAGGGGAAAAACCTATACCCTTTTCAAAAAGGGAGGAGTGTGAACCGGACGATAGGTGAACCCCTTCATATTATTCTCATTAATTCTTAGATATATCGATATTATTTACATCATATACACCATATTGGATAATATGGTCATAGATTCACCACGAGATATGTTACTATATTGTTTTCCGTAGTAAATTTTATACTATGTGTATTTCTTAGTCCACCTACCAACTGACTTTTTGCATCTTGTGTTGTCTTTATCCTAGATTAGTCTTAAGGGTAGAGAGTGAATCCATCTCTCATATTAAACATCGTCTGGGAGCTGAAGTAACGATCGACTCATAGATTTCTGTGAAAATCGAACGTCTTGATTAGTTTTTAAATTCTACCCAACGATCCGAATTTATGCACTGATAGCCGCAAAAGCTACCTGCACATCCTCTTATATGTATTGGACACATAAAACAAAATAATATTGTATGCATAACTAAAGGAAAAATAATCTTTAAAAAAAAATTATTTGAGAACATTCCCGAAAAGAGGCGGGTTGAATTAAATGCCAGGTCGAGTCATATGAAATGTCACAGTAGCCCTGATGCAATATTATGGCGAACCGGATTTGACTCGGAGGCCACGGAGTTCCGACTCAGGGTCGCGATACCGGATAGTAGAGCAGAGCAAAGAAATAAATAAAATGTTGATTTATCGAAAGTATTAGGATGTATCAAAATTACTTTGCTCCCAGATTCCCATTTCTAGTTGAAATCTGAACTCTTGCCTAAGATCGCCTAGTTGACCATTATGACTGAGTAGCGAGTGATATCCACACTGGGTGCCCCATTCAAAATTCGAAATTAAATAGCTCAACGAGACATATAAATATAGAAAACAAACATTTGAATATTGTAAATTGAAATCTTAAAGCTCTTAGTAAATTTAAACATTGGCTAGATGAGTGCACATTAATTACGTGTATCTTGTCTCGCTAAGTCAATTACTATTGAGTAGTGAGTTCGATACTCACTGTATGCTTAATATTTTCGGCGTTCTACCTCATCTAAGCTTAGCGAAGTAAAACAATATTTGACTTCCATTATAAATATAACGAATATTTATATATTCAGTCGGGTTTTGAACCTAGCTAGAGGCAACCGGAAGTCTAGTCACACTGATGAGCTGTGATACAGCGAAACAGAACTGTCTGTGGATGACAATATATATGCTCCTGAAAAATTTATTCAGTTGAGCTCTCTGGGGAGGAAATGTGGGTTTGTAAACAGTGACTATTATAGGTAATAATGTAAGACTCTTCGTTAGATCGAGTTGAGTTCTCTCAGTTATTGTGTGTTTATATGAAAAATAAAATTCACCTGCATCCCTGCTGTGCGGCTTAGTGGTAGAATCCCCGACTGACGCCAATTCAGTCGGGTTTCAATCCCAGCTAGAGGCCACCGGACGTCTAGCCACACTGAAGAGCTGTGATACAGCGAAACAGTCAGTCTGTAGATGACAATATATATATATATATATATATATACACACATACATATATATATATATATATATATATATATATACACACACATACATATATATATATATATATATATATATATATATATAGAGAGAGAGAGAGAGAGAGAGAGAGAGAGAGAGAAAGTAATAAATCCGTTGGTATATAATGCAAGTGGATCCTAGTAATATAAAATATTAAAATGATCCCAAAAAGGAGCTCAATATATTTATTATTACAAGAAAAATACAAAATAAAATCCAAAGTCACCTCAAATGGAGAATAAGTTTATTTCGACCGACGAAAATATAATTCACCAGTCTTATTCAACCCCTTATATATATATATATATATGTGGTATTACTTCTTAAAGTGTCCTCTTTTACATTCCGTGAATAATTCAGTATGGATATATGATTTCACATACAAATGGCAGAGAATTGTAAATCTAACTTGTTGCTACATTCTAACCATCCAAACCGCGTTTCCTTTTAGATATGAATACACTATTTCAACGGAATTTCATTGGATGAATCCGTTACTCCTCAATTTCCTTTGCCTTTCTCCTCCTTTTTTTGTCGTAAACTGAATTTCATTGATTTATTTATATCAACATCTTTCTATCAATTACCTCCTTGATTTTTCCATTTCTTACGAATCTGGATAATTTTGAATATATACCTCCTGTCTTCCTTTTTGTCTTTCCTATTGGTAACTAGCAGCATGGCCCGGCGTTGCCCGTGCTTGATTCAAAAATTGTACGACTCATGCAGCAATCGCTATCACGTCACTTAAAATCTTTTTGCCCATCCTTGCCTTTAAAGGAGTGCCCTTTGCCGTGCTGATGTTGCTATATGCCTTACCTATCTCACACTGCGAATTTTTTCTTAGCTCGATACTAAACATTAAATCTGTTACGAAAAAAGAACTAAACAAAATAAACACAAAACGATCAGCTTTAAAAAAAGGACTCGTAACTGGAAAAACCGAATGAAAAAAGAATGTTAACAACAAATACTTTTTCACACCCAACCCAGTTCTGCGGAATCAGAATCAACATTGAGTTTAAGCAAGCGAATGAGCCAATTGGGGTAAAGTGCCATGTAGATTTAAATTTTTCCCACGAATGCAGCTATTGATTTTTTCTATGCTAGCATGCTAGTTAACATTCGTGTCAGTCAGCTTTTGGCTCTCACGCTGGCCAATAGAATCTTTCTGCCAATTCATGGCAGCCAGCTATTGGCTCTCATTCTGGCCAGTACAAAATGGCCTCAAACTACATGAAAACTGCCGTAGAAGCATGAAAAAAATCGATTATTTCCACTATGGATGGGAGTTGGGAAATCTAAAGTCGGTCTTGGCCTACCCGCTAACTTAAAGCATGTGCATGTTAATTTTGGTGCAAATCCGTCGAAAATTGCAGCCGTGCATTCGTTACATACACACACACACACACACACACACACACACACACACACACACACGCACACACACACACAGACACATACACATACATACAGACATCCTACCTTTTATAGATAGAGATATCATTAATTTCCATACGTTTTCTTTTAACTTTCTTTATATTTTCTTTTGCTTTTCTCTTTCTTTTTCTTTTCTCTTTCCTTTTTATTAATTTCTTATCTTCTTTCGTTTCTCTTAATATAAATCCTTTTTACCTTTTATGGAAAAATTTTCCAAAGACAAATAATGAAGCAATGCTTTATCAATCGTAATTCTGAATGAAATCTTTTAGTACCATCATTGTTTGCCATCCGAAGAAATTTCTAGTGGATATTTATATGTTCCAATGTAACATTGCATAATAAGTATTTATTGGTCTACTTCCAATGTTTTGAACGTTGAAACTTTATTCTTCGTTCTTTTTGTATTTTGTATATAATTATATATATATATATATATATATATATATATATATATATATATATATATACAGAAACTACAAATATTTCGCACGTCAACTACAAACATAGAATATCTTATGCATATAGGTATTATTTAAATACATTTTGTACTGTGGTCTTGGCGGATCAACGTGCAAGACCATTCCATACGCCTGCTAGATCAGCGATCGTCAGATAGCCAGATAATGACATTTGTACGCATCCTTGTCTAATGCGTGTGAAACATTTATTCGTGGAAGAACTTTATACAGATCTTCGTTATTCACAAAAATATTTTAGCACTTCTATTGGAGATATGAAGCCCTACATTAACTGTCTCGACATACCACATTTTTATTTGATTATATATATATATATATATATATATATATATATATATATAATTGTATATTTAGGCAGCAATCCTTCGTTAATGCTTGTGCTAACCATATTCGGAAATTAAAACATTCCTACTACACACTAAAACATACACATAATGCACACACTCAATTAAGCTGAAAAATCAAATCATTCTTGATAATGGCCAAAGGTATAGCCGAAAGCGCTCGGAACTATAAAACATTTGCACAGTTTTTACACACTCTTTCGCCAGAAAAGAAAGCTCTTGTTCGAACACAAGAAAATTAAATAAAAAGCTTAACTGCGGTAACTTTTCTGTCGTTTTTTAATGAAATATATATATATATATATATATATATATATATATATATATATATATATATATATATATATACCCTCGAAATAATACGATTGAGCTCCCGCAGAGGAAGGGGTGATTTTACAAACAGTGGCTGCTGTTGCTCTTCTAGTCGAATCGAGTTTTCTTAGCTGCTGACGTCTTTCGCGTAGTAAAAAACGTGATACACGCTTCAGCGATCATGTATCTTTTGATACATGACTAACAAAGCAGAAGATGTTTTTTCTGCAGTAGAATATCATTTTTTTCTGCTGTAGCCTCTTTACCAACCAAGCCTAAAGAACCCAGTCTTTCCTGTTATTAAACCCATAGCTGGCAGGGGTGGGAGAAGAGAGTGATTCATACCTTTCCCAAGCGTAATTGTACCTAAGTTAATATGAGGAACTCGAATGGGATTTGATCCCGGCTCCATTGCTCCACAACGCATAGATAGTTATCTAAGAACTAAGATAGATAGATAGATAGATAAATAGATAGATAGATAGATACGTGGTTAAATAAATACATACATATGAACCTCGATAGATATTGAATAGAGTTATCTAAGAACTGAGATAGATAGATAGATAGATAGATAGATAGATAGATAGATAGATAGATAGACTATTTACATTGTTCGGACGGTTATCCTCATCTTTGTTGCTATATTTACGACGTTTCGTCCGTTGTATACTCCGGCCTTTTACAGGTGATCAGAATTTCGAACTGGCTCACTGGATAAAGGCTTTGATTGGATCAAGTCATTTTGCCCAAAGAGTTGTGAGTTATATACCTGGCTACAGCAGTTGTGAAAAAATTCTTGGAGTGTTAAGTTAACTGAGAAATCCAGAATAGGAAATAGAACATTCTACTACGGTTCAGTTTGAAATTCCAATTGTCTGAAGAAGGCCCGAACGTCTTGAACATGGTAACAAAGATGAGGACATTTCGAACAATGTAAGCAATAATTACAATGCCTCAGAAATATAGATAAAAAGATACATAGGCAATGTACACATTGAGATAGATAGATCGATAGATATACAGATAATAAAAAAATTACATCGATAGACGATGTACAGATAGTGAGTTAATAAAGAAATCGACATAAATAGTTAGGTAACTAACAACTTGTCAAAGAAAGTAATAAAGAGAGATAATGAGGAAATTAACATAGATAGATAGATAGAGAGATAACAGATAAATAGATATATATTGAATAAATTAATACAGATGATGGATTTCTTTTGAGCAATTTTAATATTAAACTTGGACATGGAGGTGTCCTATATCATCAAGACTCCATTTTTAAAATATGTTCAGCGTGTAACAACCTCTAAATGAATCAAAAAATAGAAAATATTATTTCATATATATATATATATATATATATATATATATATATATATATATATATATATATATATATATATATATATATATACATATATATATATATATATATATATATATATATATATATATATATATATATATATAGAGAGAGAGAGAGAGAGAGAGATAGATACTGAACAAATCGAGATACGGGATACATAGAGAGACAAACAGACAGATAGATAGATAGATAGATAGATAGATAGATAGATAGATAGATAATGAAGAAATCGAGATAGATTGATAATGAACTAATTTAGATCAAAAGATAGAGAGTTGGACTGTAAATCATGATAGACAGATAGAGAAATAAATAATAAACAAATTTATCATATATATATATATATATATATATATATATATATATATATATATATATATATATATATATATATAAATAAAAAAGAAAGAACAGTAAGATATATAATCCGGTGTTCTTATAGATATTTTTATTTTTCATTATTTTTCTAATAGATATTATTTTTTTTTAACAAAATAGTGCTCAATGTAAATTTACAGATCATTAATATTATATATATATATATATATATATATATATATATATATATATAAAAATATATATATGCAAAATAAAAAATATATATATATATATATAAATATATATATATATATATATATATATATATATATAGACTCCGAACAAATTCCTATATATATATTATAGTGTAGTAAATATAGACACTTGTGAAACAAACTGAAATAGACAGAATTGTCAAGTTGGACGCAACCAGGAACAAAAAATGTCAAAGGTTGTGTTCACGCTGCTAATGGATGTCATAGTATTTACTCCCTCGGGTTAAGCCCTTGGCGATTGGTCAGCGTTTTTGTCCTTTCATGACCCTCAAGAAAACAACATGAAAATAGTAACCGATGAAGAAACATATTACTTGATGCTGAAAGGAATAACATTTTTATAAATGATTTTTTCCTGTTTTGTGCAAATACTAAATGATCAGATGTTGTACACAGGAAAAAATATCCTGCTTTTTTAAAAGTAATATTTTTCCTATTTCTTCCTTTTTTAGAATTAGTTTTTTTTTTTAAATATCAGATTTGCTAGCATAAAATCCAACTAACATGAGACATATGACATTAGAATAGGAAAAGTGTGAATATTCTACAACGTCTGAGTAAACATTAGCCTGACAGATATATAGATCTGGCCTATAGCACGAAATATTTTTTCGCGAAAGAGCAGGTCGAGTAGCTAAAAAAAATCAGTATATATTTGAACACACGCAAACACTCGCTCACACACGCACAAAATATATATATATATATATATATATATATATATATATATATATATATATATATATATATATATGTGTGTGTGTGTGTATGTAAAAAAAATCAATTTTCAAGAATAATTTTATGAAATTTTGTGGAAAGATATCTTTGACCATTCAGACGAAAACTTTGCACATTGTTATAGATTTTTCTAAAAAACACATACACAAACAAACACGCGTGTGTGCATGCACACACACACACGAAATATATATATATATATATATGTATTTATAAATATACATATCTACATATATTAATTATTATATATATATATATATATATATTTATAAATATACATATATATATATATATTTATTATATATATATATATATATATATATATATATTTATGAATACATTTATATATATATATACTAATTTTAATATATATATATATATTTTTTTTTAAAAAAAAAATAATTATAATCTAGGCTCTACTTGTGTATCGAGCACTGATTTTTAAAAATAAAAACAGAAATACTACAGAAATTCGGATCATCAATCAGGCGGTTTTTTCCTATTATATCAATATATTTGTACACACACACACATACACACACACACACACACACACACACATATATATATATATATATATATATATATATGATGATGGGTAAAATGTCTCAATCGCCTTGTTTGTTTTAGATTTTCTCGACTGAACAGTATAGTAGGTTCAATTGAACACCATATGTGAGGAAAAAAAAGCACCATGTCGCAATTCACGCCGCCAGACATTTGGAAACGGCATGCTGTACTGCTTGACATACGCGCCGGAACCTTCAGTAGGAACATTTTAGAGTTTTAGGGTGTCAATCTGAAGACGGTGAAGAGGATTCGGAAAGAGTTTGATGAGTTTAATTGTAATTACAAATGGCTTTGGATTGATCACTAGAGATAACGACGTTAGGCCTCCATTCATCTTCCCACAGTGCTTCAGTCTCAACACGAAGGCCTTGAGCAGGTAGCTCTACCCTGGGTTAAGAGGGTGGCTGCTGGAAGAACCTATGTCTACACTGTGCCACACAAGCAGGGGACCACATTAAAAAAAATCGCATCAATCAATCGCATCACCCCTTATATCTGGCCACCTAACTCCCTGAACTGCAAACCCCTTGAGTGAGAAACTAAAAAAACTCTTTTAACGTTAAAATGAACTGAAGGCAAGGGTCATGGAAGCATTCACCAACTTAAACAGGGAGACCGTCCGGAAGAATTGCAGGAGATTCCGAAGACGTCTGGAGGATGGGAATAAAGTTAATAGCAAAATTATCAATAAAATTTAGTTTTAAAGATATTTTTTGTATTATTATAATATTTATGAAGTATATATTAATAAATATACTCGGAGTTCCATGCAGAACGCAATATTCAGGTGCTGAGTATAAGTTGACCGTTAAGTAATTTTAATAAAGATATCTGTTTATCGCAAATATTGGTGTACTGATTTACTATCCTAGGATTACATTTTGTTTTTTTAAATTTATAATAAATATTTGTCTATATTTCTGAGATGAGGTATTATGTACATTATTTACATTATTCAGACTATTGTCCCCATCTTTGTCACCATATTTATTACAACGTTTCGGCCCTTCAGTATCTGTCTATATTTATGAGATGAGGTATTATGTACATTATTTACATTATTGGTGTTGTCCTCATCTTTATCAAAGAACGTTACATACGTTCCGGCCTTCTTCAGGTGGTTGAAGATAAAGTAAAAGCGATATAAAGTGATTTGTTTGCGACATTCCAACCACCTGAAGAAGGCCGGAGCGTAAAACGGCCGAAACTAATATAACAA